AGATAGATAGATAGATAGATAGATAGATAGATAGATAGATAGATAGATAGATAGAGAGAGTGAGAGAGATAAAGAGAGAGTAAGTGAGGGAGAGAGAATAAAGAAAACACAAAGAAAAAAAGTAGCAAAAAAAAAAAAGGGAAAAACAAAAAAGAAAGAACGTTGTTAGCCTAATTGACAAGACACTTGACAACTCAGTGACCTAGATCTGGGAACAGCGCGGAAATGTTTTGGAGCTGAAGTTGTCGGAAAACTTCACATGATAGAGGTTTACTATCGTCTCTGGTGTAGTGGTTTGGGCTCTCAGTCGTAGAACAAAGAAGTCGTGAGTTCAATCTCCAGCGGAAAAGGGAGGGGGGGGGGGGTTGTAAAGTATCTCCGTCTGTCTAACGGGATGCTGTGTCTCAAGTTGGTCCTGATCTTAAAAGCCGAAGCTGCCTGCCTCCAAAATAGTCGGAATTATGTTGACAGATGCGTAAAACACTTTCAGTTGCAATTTTAACTTTCAAGACAGTCACCTGTGCAAACGAACACTTTCCACCCTCCTTGTGATTCTATACTAAAATGTCGCAGTCGAAGAGGACCACCTGTCATAAATGACCAAGGGGTTCTCATGGTCTTGAGGTTACGGTGTTGGCATCTCTTTTAATAGGTCCCGGGTTCGAAACTTGACAGCGACAGAACATTTTTTTTCTCTAAAACTATGTTCTCTTTTCAACTTCTTTCCTGCTCACTAACCCTGTCTGTTGTCTGCGCCTGAAAGCGTTTACCAAACAAACAAGACGTCCACCTGTCAAAGATGACCACTTTTCTCCTCGACAATGGATGGTCGTCTTGGACAAGCTCGACCGTATAACATGTCTAGTCTCTTGGCGGATCTTCCCTGTCCGTTCTTGAACAGGACATTATTTTCGGATACGTCGGATCGGCGCTCTCTCAAGCACTAAAATGACCCTGATGGTATTGAAAGGGGCATGAAACTCGACTCAAATAATAAAGAGTAGTGAATGGGAGACGTGTGAGGGAACACCGATAAGAATCCAATCAAGAGAGGCGAGGCACATGTTGATTCAGTTTTAGCACGGAGCACGTTCGAAATAGGCTCGAAATCGATAATTTTCTGCCTGGGTTTTTTGCTGCGTGGTGGTTATCTATCTCGGTCTCTCTCTCTCTCTCTCTCT